TGCAGCAGCTCTGTGTTGAGCAAACATGTGGTGCTGGTGGACATCTGATCGCATTAATTAGTTGCCTGTTCTTATTCACAATAGTACCTGTAGAGTTTTACAGGTGCTGGTCATAAAATTAGAATATCATGAAAAAGTAGATTGATTTCAGTAATTCCATTTAAAAAGTGAAACTTGTATATTATATTCATACATTACATACAAACTCATATATTTCAGATGTTTATTTTGTTTAATTTTGATGATTACAAATGACAACAAATGAAAATCTCAAATTCATCATATCAGAAAATTAGAATATTGTGAAAAGGTTCAAAATTGATGGCCCCTGGTGCCACACTCTAATCAGCTAATTAACTCAAACCACCTGCAAAGGCCTTTAAATGGTCTTTCAGTCTAGTTCTATAGGCTACACAATCATGGGGAAGACTGCTGACTTGACAGTTGTCCAAAAGACGACCATCGACACCTTGCACAAGGAGGGCAAGACACAAAAGGTCATCGCTAAAGAGGCTGGCTGTTCACAGAGCTCAGTGTCCAAGCACATTAATAGAGAGGCGAAGGGAAGGAAAAGATGTGGTCGAAAAAAGTGTACAAGCAAGAGAGATAACCGCACCCTGGAGAGGATTGTGAAACAAAACCCATTCAAAAATGTGGGGGAGATTCACAAAGAGTGGACTGCAGCTGGAGTGAGTGCTTCAAGAACCACCACACACAGACGTATGAAAGACATGGGTTTCTGCTGTCCCATTCCTTGTGTCAAGCCACTCTTGAACCACAGACAGCGTCAGAAGCGTCTTGCCTGGGCTAAAGAGAAACAGGACTGGACTGCTGGTGAGTGGTCCAAAGTCATGTTCTCTGATGAAAGTAAATTTTGCATTTCCTTTGGAAATCAAGGTCCCAGAGTCTGGAGGAAAAGAAGAGAGGCACTTCATTCACGTTGCTTGAAGTCCAGTGTAAAGTTTCCACAGTCAGTGATGGTTTGGGGTGCCATGTCATCTGCTGGTGTTGGTCCATTGTGTTTTCTGAGGTCCAGGGTCAACGCAGCCACATACCAGGAAGTTTTAGAGCACTTCATGCTTCCTGCAGCTGACCAACTTTTTGGAGATGCAGATTTCATTTTCCAACAAGACTTGGCACCTGCACACAGTGCCAAAGCTACCAGTACCTGGTTGAAGGACCATGGTATCCCTGTTCTTAATTGGCCAGCAAACTCTCCTGACCTTAACCCCATAGAAAATCTATGGGGTATTGTGAAGAAGAAGATGCAATACACCAGACCCAACAATTCAGAAGAGCTAAAAGCCACTATTAGAGCAACCGGGGCTATCATAACACCTGAGCAGTGCCACAGACTGATCGACTCCATGCCACGCCGCATTGCTGCAGTAATACAGGCCAAAGGAGGCCCAACTAAATACTGAGTGCTGTACATGCTCATACTTTTCATGTTCATACTTTTCAGTTGGCCAACATTTCTATAAATCCTTTGTTTTTATTGGTCTTCAGTAATATTCTAATTTTCTGATATGATGAATTTGAGATTTTCATTTGTTGTCATTTGTAATCATCAAAATTAAACAAAATAAACATCTGAAATATATGAGTTTGTATGTAATGTATGAATATAATATACAAGTTTCACTTTTTAAATGGAATTACTGAAATCAATCTACTTTTTCATGATATTCTAATTTTATGACCAGCACCTGTAGGTATTAAATCAGAATTTCTTAAAATGTCTCTCGGACAGCAGCTAAATAATCTAGCAAAGCAATGTTTCAGAACGGCCCAGTCCAAGTCTAGAAACTAATCCATGGATTGGCAAAACAATTCCTCTTCACAGGCAGCATCCATGCCTGCTGATTCTGATATTTATCTGCATTTTTCAACATTATGTGTGAACTTTTCAATCTCTAGATGTGCAAAAAACAATAGAGGAATGATAGTTGCATGAAAACACATTAAATCTTTTGAGTGCCATCATTCATTGATTTCCACCACCCCCACCCCCCACCCCCCCCCCCTCCCCCACCCCACCCATATGATTAGAGCACTAATTGGCTGCCCTGATGCAGAGATTTTAAAGTAGCTGCACAACACTTTGGTTGATGTCTTTTTTCATTAAAAGCAATTTAGAATAGTCTTTCCACCTCACCATTTTTCATACAGGTATCTGCTACTCGTTTAATCTAACCATATATATATATATATATAAAAACATGCTGCTCTATCAAACAGCTGAAAAAGCCCAGTGAACAAAGAATATAATCTTTGACTCCTTGCCCCACTGGAGCCTGTAATTAGGCCTATAAAACACATTCTATATATAAACAACAATGGACAGTTAAAGTGGGAGTTTTGTCAGGGAGCTCTGGTGAGTCACAGCACAGAGAGAGCACACCCCATGCTCTTGGGGTGTAGCAAGTTAGCCTTTAAAAAAGTCCTTTAAAGCAGGCAGGTTTGGTAAAACAGTGGATGAAGGCTGCGGCTGGTCAACCTTTGCATCTCTCTAATCGCTATGCTGGCACACAGCCCACCTGCATTCAGTCAGAACAGGTTTTCTCAATTCCAGGCTGCGTTAGCTAAGTCACTCAATAATTTTTTTTTTTTAAGGAACAAGACTTGCCCGAAGCTCTGGTTAGGAGTAGTGAAACTTTGCTTGTGCTAATCTGGTTACTGTAACAGAGTTAAAAAGCAAGAGAAAATTTTTCTGAGGAAAAATAAAAAAAAAAAAACCCAAAAAAACAAGGTAAACAGGTAACAAAAAGCAAAGCTTTGACCTTAATATTATTCTAGGTCACATAACTTCAAGAACAACTTCTCCCTTAAAGAAACACAAGAGTTTGTTTGAAGTAAATAGTTTAACAAGGCGTGGATATTCGAGTGATAAGTACGTTAGTGATAAAATGTAAAGTGACAATTATTGAGTTAAAAACACATCCGTTCTCTAACACTGCCCAGCAGCTAGAGCCTGTTTGAGCTCTGCAACTTGCACCATTAAAAACGTCAAAAACAAACAGCTATTATTTAGATAATTTTGTTGGATACTTTATGCGTCGATAAGGCTTCCTTCTGCACGCCGTGTAGAAAATGTTATGAAATAGGCCAAGAAAGAATGCTGCAAGCTCCAGCAAGCAGCATGCATGAAGTAGGGAAGTAATGGAGTATTTGTTTGCAAGTGTAGACAAATGCAGGAAAGGTTTAAAGGCTCTGAAGCCGATTAGCACAGACAATGATGCTAAGATTTAGAAAACGAAATACGAATTGTCATAAAATAATTTGTAGTTGTAATCCCCTGTTGCATAAAGTCAGGATGCAAAAAGACCAATTAAATATTTTCTATCTAAAATGAACGGTTAAGGCCTAGATGGTTATGAGAGACGTGCCACTTTCACAAGCCCAGAGAGAGGGAGAGGCCTTATTTTAGACCCCAGAATTGCAACATCTAGAGATGTAACAGACACAGTCATCAGTGCCAGTCTGTGGTCATCTGAACAACATTTTGAAATCGCCAATAAATGATTGTTTCTAATATTCAGCGGGATCCGCTTACACACACAACACCAATAATAATTGGACATGGTTGAGCTAAAACCACAAAGCACATGTCAAAGCTGGAAACTGGGTCATGACTTGTGAACTTGTCAAATTATTCAGAACGATTCGATTGATTTCTAACTGCTCTTTATAAGTGGACGGCCTGGTGGCACCATTGGTTGTATTGTCCGCTCAGGTTCAGTTGTTAGATCAATGACTCCCTGTTTCCTTCTTTCATTTTTAAACTGATGCAATAAAATCAACAGTCATTAAAAGAAGAATAACCGGGTGCTACACATTGCTTTGCCCCGGGTTGTTAATATGCTGATCTGAAGATAGCAAACAACTATTTTCTTTCAGGTTAAACCTGCAAATTCAACAAGGACCTGAAGGTAAGCATTAATGCAAGGTCCTTCAATGAAGCCAGTAGCTTTGAAACCCGTTGAAAACATAAAAACAAGACTATTCTAATATTTTTTATTGAAGAATTTACATCTTCTAACCTGTCAGGGTTTGACACGCCCATCAAAGGTCACTATTGCATTGCATTAATGTCTGTGTGTGTGTGTGTATATATATATATAATTTTTCAGCACCATCAACACCAAGTCCAATTCCTTGTATGTGCAAACTACTCACTACCTACTGGGCAATAAACTTGATTCTGATCAAAAACTCAGAGGATGGACTGGTGCATCGTAACCATTTCCAATTAATTAATTATTTGTTAGCCTTTGACAATAAACTCTTATGATTTAAGTTGAATTTGTTTAATGTAGGAGCAATTAATAATAGAAATGCACAGATCAAGGAGACAATTGTCCTCCCAATTGTAACAGACCGTTTTTTTATATTTATGCCTCTAATATAGATCCCTATAATACATATTCTTAGCTCCAAGCAGGGTGTAAATGTGCATGCAGTTGATTGATGGAGTTAATGTTTTGGTGCATTTAAATAAAAATAACTGGATCAACAATCAGAGCTGATTAGGATACAGGTCAATCAATAATTGCAGCTCAACTTATTTAATGCTTTTAAGCATTAAACGAAACAAATGTGTAACTAAAATCATTGTTTTTAAATGGTGACACATGAAACATTGCACTTTAACTCAGAAAGAGTGACTGAAAAACCACAATAACAAAGCACTTTAACCTTAGCTGCCTGGGTAGCACCTAATTATTAATAGGAAGGAGAAAAAAAGGTGGCCTGGATGAGTCCTTTCCATTTCTGAGAGGACAACTGTGGTTGTTCCTGAGGTTTGGGAGACAATGCAAGGCCGCCATATAAAGACTGGAAATGGGAGGAAAAGGAAGAGAGCAGTGTGGCCGCCCCTGTCTCACCTCCTGGGGGATACAGGAGAACCAGGAGACGGGAAAGGGGAGGTGGTGGGATATGGAGGAGATACATTTAAGACAGAGAGGTCCAGGTTTATGTTCCTGGTAATTCTGACCCACCATAAAGTCGCTGCCGAAGTTGTCCTCTCCTCTGTCTACATCCAATTCGCTCATGGCCTTCACCCTCTGGATAAAGTTTCTCAGGATACCGGCTTGGTCCATCCTTTAGCCTTCTTCTAACGTTTTTCTTTGAGGAAAAAAAAATTCCCAAACTAACAAGGTGGGAATGGGAAATAATACAAGAGGACACAAGGGGAAAATGGGTAATAAATAGAAAATAAATAGGCTTCACGGGTCCTCCCAGAGAGTCATCGTCGGTCCGCTACACACATTTTTTTATTATCGCCCCATGTTGTTTCTACCTTCCCTTCTTTCTTCTGGACTATTTCCACAACGACAGCAGTTAGTCCCGAGGAAAAGCGGTAACCGGCTCCACAGCCCCGCTAACAGTTCCTAACCGTGGCGAGGTATGAACCGTGGTGACTCGGCTCAACGAGAAACGGAATATAAAGAAAAACGGGACCCAAAAAAAAAAATAAGAACCACCCGGTCAGTGTTTCCACCCCTCCCTGTCTACCTCGATTGCCACATTCACACACTGCTGGCGCTGGGGCTTGCTATTCTGCTACTGGGGGGAACGTCCGGACTGGGGACAGCCAACAACACGTAGCCCCGCCTCTTCCAAGAACACCTGCCTCTGATTGGTCCCGATGAAAACACATTGAGAGAATACCATTGGAAGAAATTGGGTGTCACTCAACTAAGTTATTAGCTGTGATTGGAGAAAACAGATGTTCGTTGTGTTAACGCCTCTTACAGCTGCTCCAAGAAAATAATATATGAAAAATAAATAAATAAATAAATAAAAAATACTATACTATACTGTACTATATAAACCGAATTTAGATCAACTGCAGAAAAAGGTTTATTGATTTAATTCAGTTTATTTCTATAGCGCCAATTCACAACACATGTAATCTCAAGGCACTTTACAGTTCACCAGATCATACAGTCAAATTGATTCATAGTTTTTTATCTAAGGAAAACCAGTTGATTGCATCGACTCATTGACTCGGATGCAATCCCTCACACTAAGCAAGGTTGTAGCAACAGTGGGGAGGAAAAACTTGACATGAAGGAACCTCCAGCAGAACCAGGCTCATTGTGAGCGGCCATCTGCCGAGGCTGACTGGGGTTCAAGGAGACAGAAGCAGAGATACAAAAGGCAACTGTAAATGAAGAGAGCACATCCAGGCAGTCAAAGAAAAATAAATGGAATAATAAATGGAGTTGGACACCATAATTCTACAAATCAGCTATTTATAAGATCACATACATTAAAATTTCCGGACATTGTATATTTAAAAACCTTGGAAATTATGTTACGAGTGGTAAATAAGACACCCTGGTTTGTATTCAAAGAATGTTTAAGCGAAGGCAGGGGATTTATAACTTAAGGGGGTTACTAATGTTTGAAACTTACAAAACCAGAATTAATCACAAGTACAGATGTGTGTCAGTTTTGGGTGCAAAATTATGGAACGGACTAAACGATGACATATAGATGTGTAACTCTATGTTCGTTTTCAAGAAGACTTTAAAATCTAAAATTATAAAAGGTTACAATGAAATTTGACTGAGTTTGATTTTTAAGTTTAAGTTAGGTGTTTTGTAATTATGTATAAGTACCAATGTTTTATTGTGAATTATTGTTATGATGGTACAGGATAGGACAAAAAATAAGCCTTGGGGCTTCAGCCTATTCCTTTTTCGGTGATGGGTTCTTTTGTAAAAACGATTATTTTATTTTTTGTTTTTAAACCGAAATAAAGTAATCATTCATTAATTCATTCAACTGCAGCAGTGATCAAAAAACATGGTGCAAAAACGCATTGATATGGAAGTTCAGAGTATAAGGTAAATATATATATGGTGAATGATGATAACACTTTATAATGTTGCCATTACAAGGGATTACATTTCAATAGACCCTTATGTTGCAGGAACTGTCCTCCAGTAAACACACACAAACAAGAAACAGCTACTTTGTTTTCATTTAGATCTAGCAGCAATGACAAACAAACCCAACTATTCACCTCACAGGAGAGCAAAACAGAGAAGGGACGCTGCTGCTTTGCCAGCAAGCTTCATGCTCACACAAGCTGCTTTTTGTTGCTCTTGTCTTCTAACCTATTTGCTTATTATCTCCATACATTTTCTGCCCTTGCCTCGCTTTTTTCTCCACAGTTTTGTTTCTCCTCCGTCCTCATTTGACCTTTCCTTCCACAGACTCTGATCCTACTTAGAGAATTTAAATGTACCTCTATTATTTTAAACCTTCTTCAAACATTTGGTTTTGGTCACATTATTTTAAGAAAAAATACATGAAAAGCTGAAAAAAGTTAACACATTTATGTTTGCTTTGGTGTTACAAAAAAATAGTTTTCTCCTGTTATGCGTCTAAAGGACCATGTAAACTGTGTCCAATACAGTAGTATGGAGTATTCATTGTAACTCCTACCACCCAATTTACATGGTGCCAACAACAAAATTGGTCTTTGTTTATTTTCATGTCACAGGTTCAGTTTATTTAAAATTTTAATTTGGTAATCTGCCTTTAAATGAACCATTTCAAGCCTTTCTCAAACACACTTCTACCTTGCTTGATTTGCTTGCTTTCTTTAAAGACATATATTTTACATAGATAATAGAAAAAAGTAAATTATACACTAATACATCTTCAACAAAAAATTGCTTTTTTTTTTCCAATCAAATCATCATAATTTGAGATTTATTTCAATTAATTACACAAGCTCAAATAAAAGTGAGTTTTATTTTCTGCTATGACAAGTTGTATATTATTTCACTGCAATTAAAAATCTGATTATTTAATCCTTTCTGCATACGTTTAGAAGGTGAGTCATGTGTAGAGGATGGCTATGTAAGGTCAATACAACACGAAATATTAATAGAAATATGCTAAACAGACAAATCAAAGTACGTAAATACAAAAAAAAAAGCAGTCAGGCCCTCTAAAAAAAAATATTTGTAACCTTACAGATTTCTTTGGCTTGTTTGTCATACCCTAATGTTTTAGATAAAATCCCCCAACTATGCTGGCTCTATGAGAAAAAAGTAATTATAATCTAAATCTAATAGCAGCCAGCGCCACACTTGTAAATTATTTCTATCAAACTTTTTCAATATCTGGTTATTATTTATTTCTTTATACTGCTGCTCTTTTTTGAATAACTGCTTTTTTGAGCATCAGGGATCTGTTTAAGGCCAGAGCCACAGCATCTCAATCAAATTAATGCCCAGACTTTTACTAGGCCACTCTAAAACTTTAACTTTGGTTTCCTTTTGAAAGGTGTCTAGTTTGATACTATGCCTATACCAAAAAAAAAAAAAATCATATATTAATATCCAAATCAAAACATATACCTAACATTTGACCTGATAGTGTTAACTTAGTCATTTTTAAACCTGAAAATTATTTTTGCACCTCACGTGATTAGTAGACATAAACATTGCTGTACGCTGTTGCCATCTGCTGGCAGTATTTACTAATGGAGCCATTAACTTGGCAGCTTCCACAGCTTTAGCAGCAGCTTTAGCAGCCACTAGTGGTCAGGTTGTATTGTATTCTGTGAGCTACTCGTATCGTATCCCTCTTTAAATAAAATATATATTTGCACTTTTTCAACCTTGATTTTAGACTTTTTTTCACACCTCCACACCTCCACTGGGATTAGTTCGGGTCAATTACTTTCTAGTTTACTCAATGCATGTGACATGTGGCACCTCTGAATATGGGATCTGGTTACGATAAAGTCTCAGAATGCTTATTATTACAAACCAATTCAATTCAAAGTGAAAACACATAAATGAGAAATAATAAGCCAACAGAGCTATAATTTAATCAAAATGTCTTTATATACAACCAAAATCAACTACCAGCATAGAAATTTCTGTCTCTTACCATTTTCTCTTACCATGAGTATCTCTCTCAGTTAAAAGTATTGATGATTATCCAAAACTACAACAGCTGAAATAAAGACTATTTCAAGACTGATCTCTGTGAAAAGTAGAACGGAGAGATACAGAAGATATTTTGTCCCGACTGCCATTAGACAATTTAATGCCTCTTGAAGGACTGAGTTTTTTTTTTTTTTTTCATCTAATTGTGTGTCTTTTATCTTATTTAATATGTTCTCATCTTTGCTGTCAACAGGTGAATTTCCACCATCTGGGATTAATAAAGTATCTATCTATCTATCTATCTATCTATCTATCTATCTATCTATCTATCTATCTATCTATCTATCTATCTATCTATCTATCTATCTCTCCATCTCAAATAAAAAAACATAAATATGTTGCCTGGAGGTTCGTAAGGAATCAAAATAAATACAGAATAAAATCACATTATAAACCATTATTTATAAAACTAGAGCTCCTCTATGTAACTTCCCTATAATCACATTTAAACTTGATTATTTGGGGGGGAAAAATACAGAACAAAAGTTATACTCAGGCTGAATTAATTAGTTTCACATTGTTTTCATCAAGACAACTGAGCTGTTTTGAAGAGCTCTGATAGCTCAGTGTGAAAACCAGCTGATCCCAGGCTGTTCTCTACATCCAGTCTGTTCCTCTGCTTGGTTTTGATGTGTGTCAAAGCTGAAGGTAAATAAAACATATAAGAAAAAATGAGTTTTTGGTTTATAAAAGCTGGTTAAATTTCCAAAAAGTTTCTTCGGCTTTATAATCAATGACTGAATGATGAAACTGATTAAAAAAACTGAGGCTCCCAGCGCTTTAAAACTCCTGAACGAGTTATTGATATGATTTTGCAGCAATTCTTTATGATGGTCACTCAAAGAAAGTTTCATCACTGTTCGTGTTATCTACGCATGCACTATAGTTTACAGAGCGTTTCAAACCCTTGGAAATTTGCTGTGCAACCATTTCCAAACCCATAGAATTCAATGATTTTGTTCCTCATCCTGTCTTGAATGTCTTCGGATCGGGACATGAGATGTTGCTCTAATGGCCTCCTTTTCTACAAGTCTGGCAGTAATAAATGGTCAAAGTGTGGCCACTGAAACTGATGTAAACTTTCATTAAATCACATTTTTGATAAGGGCAGCTGCACAGGATAGTTTTGTCGTGATTTGCAAACTGTATTTTCTGAAAACTCTTATGTATCTATCCTCACTAACAAAAGAGACAAGTTGCTTTTTCAGGTTGCATCTTGTATGCTAATGAATAAAAGCTTCAAATACTCTGTTAGTCTACTGTATTGAGTGTTTTCTTTAATAGCTGTACAAAAATGATCTTGTGACCTTTTTTTTTTCTTCTTCTCTAAATGCCGGCTCTGGTTGCCTCATACTGCCTGTGACACTGACCTTCGATCCCCATGTGGGAATAGGAGGGCCAGAGGTTCACCATTTCACAGCAGGGATCATTTACATATCATATTATTATTCCCCTCCCCCTCTTTGAGCTATTTCCTCTCTTTGTTCACCACTGCTGTCTCCTTTAACTTTAAACAAAGCACATTATGTCTTATTCTTCATTCTTTTTCTTCCCTTCTTTTATCAGTTCCTCCTCTTTTTCCCTTTTCTCCCCCCGTCTTTCTGGAATGTGCTCTACAGAAGCAGCTGAGTTAAGGAATGTTGCTGTAACAAGGCCATGCATAATCCTGAAGGTAGGGAGGCTCCCTCAGATACACAAATAAAATCCTCCTCCTCATGCTCTTAAGGCTCAGTCTCCACCGAAGGTCTCGATTTCCTCGTTGTCTGCTCTTTTGCAGGGGAGCGAGAAGCATGATGATGCATGTTTGAAACCAGGGTGAAATAGGAATATCTACCGTAGTCTGCACACAGACACATTCATGCTTTAGTGTGGAAAAGTTTGGCCTCGGGGCAATTAAAAAGAAGAGCTACATTACACAACCACACCATGCCCCTGCTTATTAGAAGTTTTTAGAAATAAGTCATGTACTGTTAAGAGTGCAGGGCATTATTAATACATGTTTAACATTAGTAACACACTAAAGCTGTAGAGCAACAGCTTAAAATCACCATGAGGCAACTATGGGGTTTCACAAACAGTTTATAAACTCACCCTAACATCACAATCATGATGTTGAAATGTGTTTCATTGGGAAATTAAACATAATTTTCCTTTATTCTATCAATATTTGCTCTTTGTGCAGTTTTTACTAGTCACAAATGAATACCAAACATTTGTTCAATACCAACATCTGACAGGAGATTTGTCTGAATTTATACACCTTTTATGAACCCTGTTTAATCAAAGGTGGAAAATGGCTTCAAGTTGCTTTAAGCTCATCCAATATTCCAGGATACTCGTGATTTGTTTGATTGCACGTTTTTGTTAGGAGCCAATCAATCCATTATTCATCAATCACCCTTAATTCAATCAACCAAGCAGCCAATCACTGCCACAGCTAAGTGGCTTTGTTTTATTACTGCGATGGAAGGATCTTCTGGATCATTAAATGACTCGTTTAACTGCCTCTCGGCAGGTTTTCCGTCACTCTATCCAGAGAAATGTCATCTGTCAAGTCCTTCCACCCTAAAAGAAACCGCAACAGAGTGCCATGTTGTTATTGTAGGACATTGAGGTAAAGGTGCTTCCGTCTTGCTAGACCTTGCAAGCTTATGTACTTTTCCAAAACCATGCCTTGTAGGAATGATACATTATATTGCATCTTAAGGGATTTATATTAATTCATTATCCTGCAGACATCTCTTTAACTTCAGAATATTCTGTCTGGAAGGTCTCAGGACATTTCTATTCACATATTGGTTTAGCTTCAGCTTTAGGAAGCATCTTCATTGTGAGATTTTATATTTTCAGTGGAGCATAGCTTGTCTACTTAATTCTCCATCCATCTATTTTCCTGACCTGCTTAACGTTCAGCAGAGTTCCACAGGATGGGTGTTTTTTTTCTCTTGCAGCAATTTATTTAATTATTTCCCTTTAAGTTCATTACATCAAAGAAGCACTGTAGTCAATTTTAAGAAAATGTTTATGTAGGAAAAAGAGAAATCGGATCCCCCCAAGGTGTTTATGTAAGGAATTATACAAAAATTCTCCTTGCATTCCTTTACTTGTTTGCATATAATGACCGATTAGATTGTTCGACCTTAAAATCCTCTTTATAAATGAGGATATATTGAGAGTCGGCATCTCTCCATGACACCCCTCTCCAAATAGAACCCTAAAAACCCAGTTAAGTATCCTTTTGAGTGTGTGAAAGGCATCTGTGAACTCTTCCTCCTCAGTTATGTCAAAAACAAAACTCACAGTACTACAGTAAAATCTCTAATAACTTAAGAGGGCAAAATATTGTCAAACTACAAAAGCTACCGTTGTGAGTGACATGTTTATGAGGACTAGTATATTACCCCAAAACAGAGTGATCGTGTTTCCACGTTGTGTTGCAGCCATGTTTGTGTCTTCACAGCACCAGCGCACACTCACATATTCTGGGCTGCTGCCAGGCAGTGGCGGTTAGATGCACTGTCAGATTTAGACCTGTAATTACTGCTTTAACTTCTGCAAACTATGTATTTGTGAGTACGCTTCTGTGTGAAGTTGCCAATCTAAATATACTCTAAATGTCAGCATATAGCAGGTTTACTGCCTGGGCGGTGGAGCATCGAGTCCCTGCTCCTGTTACAGTCCAGACTCTCAGACCTTTACCAATCAAATAGAATATTGACCACAATGCTTCTAGAGCACTTTAAGGCGAGGTTATGTCAGCTTTTTTTTTCATTGTCCATTTGCACCATTTAGTGGCCAATATGAGATTTTCTTTTATGTTTAATCCCTGAGCTCCAACGTGTTTTAAATCCTCTTATGCAACAGATGAAAACTAATAAAAAATGAAAAGTTAAAAATATTGTTAGAAAATATAATTAGAAGAGATCAGCAAACAGAAAACCAATAAAATAAAAAAAAAGGAAAAGGATACTGAAGCTAGCATCTGATTGGACCTTTCAACTCCCATGTTAATGAGTGAAACAGCAGCTTCAAGAAACCCAAACAGGATAGATGCCAGCTTCAGATCATAAGGAAAAAATATTTCTAAGTAAAGTGTAACTTAACCCTTTGATGCACTACTTGATGCAAAAGTAACCTATTTATTTCCCTGGTTTACCTTTTAAAATTTAGTTACATTTTAATTAACACAACAGTCTTCATATAATGTTTAATAAGGCAATATTTTTACTTCAGATTATATATATTTTTTTGGTTCAAAAAGATTTTTTTTCTACCTTAAATCTACACACAATGCATCCAAAATACTCCCTTCATCTAAGTGCGATTTAACAGGAAATTTCTAAATATTACTTTTCAAATACTTAGTATACTTAGTCAGGCAAGTAAACATTTAACATATTTTTTCCTCATTATTTAAATAAATGTTTAACTAATATAAAGCAAAAAGACAAAGTGGGATTACTCATGACCCACATTATACATAAAAAAGGAAATGTTATAAAGGTTACCATGCACACATCGTCAGTTTTAATACAGAGAAACTAAAAACTAATTTAAAATCATTTAGTGCTGCTTTAGAAAGTTAGCTAATTTATTTTTATAAGATCCAGTAGACAAAGATGGGAGATCCATCCAATCCTGTTTAAAAAATAGGATTGTGTCTGTGGCTAAAATCATATAAATTTGTTTAGTTTCAATATTTTATAATTATTTTATGTTGGAGTTTGAGGTCATGCAGCTCCCCTCCTCAGCAATTGGCAGCCTATACGGTCTATTATTCTTTGCAACTATAGCACAGATGAGTTTACCATAGATGTAAATGATCCTGTTTCTATTTGAAGTTGCCCAGACATTAAAAACAAAGGAACAGTGGAAGTGATATCATGCCATTAATTTGACAGCTTTCTATAGTTCCTCTCTGCTGCTTCCTAAAGTTTGGGCTTATTAATCTAGATTATATGCAAGAGAAAAACAAATGATTTGGGTAATTTTATTGGCTTTAACTCATTTGTCTGTTAACGCATCACAGATGTTACGACCAGCTGCTTCCTGCTGGAAAGTGCTAATGGCCAATGGATGACAAAACAGAACAACAATGTGGCGGAACTGCTAAGGGAAAAAAATATGTTTTGGAAAGTATTTATGTTCTTTTAAAAAAAAAAAAATTATCAACACTTTTGCAAGGCGGTCTACATTTTTTATACATGTATGGCTTTGATGAATACATTTCTTTCACCTACTTTAGAGAGTCCACCTACCTTCCACTAAGCTCAGCTCAGCAGGTCTTCAGACTCTAAGCTTGACCTGCAGAATCAGCAGCAGGATATGGGACGCTATCTTCGCTGCCTGCAGATAAAATGATTTTATGATGCAACCATTGGTATTTTATATTCCTACTACATCTGCCACTAAAAGTAATAGTTTCACCTTTCTTTTTGCATCTCATGCACAGTTGTTCCACCCTGTGCACCGAAATAAAGCTCTAATATCCATCTGCAAAAGTGCCAGGTTGGAAAAATTAAAGATAAAATAAAAGGCAAGCAAGAGTTAGTAAATAAATAGACTCCCTTTAACTTTACCAAATGCATACACCTTAAATATCTAAATAGATTATTTTAATGTTTCATGGTTTCACTCTGCATCATGTTTTTGCAAAATACCATTTATTTAAGAGCTGATAAGTGTAGTTTCAGGTGTAATAATACACTGTGGCATTGTGTGGGAGCAATCACCTCATCTTGAATGTGATGCATCAATAGGGATGATGATAAATTTCAAACATCGTTTCCATCAGGAGGTGGAGATCAGTGTTCACCTGGACAACAGGCTCCATTGGAGAGGCAGCAGGAAAGCACTAAAGAGATTATAATCTGTTCTGACGTCATCTGCTGGAGAAGCAGGAGAAAAGCCAGAGACAGGCTGACAAAGAAAGCTGGTTCTGATTTTGGTAGAGTTCCTAAACACCCTCGTCCCAGAATGCTAATAAAAAAAACAAGGAGTTCAGTCAGACGCTCCTTAGACCTAATGTAGCACAAACCACTACAAGGGATAATTTCTGCTAACTAGCATCACCAGCTTAGAGAAAAAAATGGAGGGAATGAAATGGGTGACATAAATTATTAAAGAATCAGAAGAAGAAAACATTAAATTAGACAAAAATAATGAAAAGAGGAAGAAGAATTGTCTACGGATAGAGCAGGTGCTCACTATGCGGAGCGTAAGGGTCTGTTTCCTGTTTGATGTAATGGCGGCTAAAATCTATTAAAAAACAAAAGGACCTGAAGGAAGAGAGGAAAGTTGTATGGCAAACAGAGTGATAAATACATCAATTGGAAAACAAAATACATGAAAACGAGTAAAGAAATATTTATATAAACCTAATACAACTTTAAAGGTTTTAAAGTTTTCCTAATTGGACATTAACCCTGAATAAAGAGATCAACTCGCACAATGAACCCACAATCAGGCAATACATGTTTGCTTTTAATGGATATGAAAAAACGTTGACATTTTGTGGCACAAATTTACTGCAATAAGGTTTGGCGACACGAACTGGAAAACTATAAAATACATATATAAGTTAAATAAATAAAATTCTGGACAAAGTTAACTCACACTGGGTACAGAAGAGGAGACTTGGATATTTTTCATTGTAAGCACATTGGACGATAGGACTGGATAAACAAGTGTAGGGCGATGCAACGGGATGAAGACCGAGATTAAAAAGCAAGTCTGTGGTAACAGTAAGGGCTGCGCTGTGTCTTTAACTCACGTGTGCTTCGATTCAGTCTCTTTAGGTTCAAGTAAAAATGAATAACTACAAAAAACTTGTTCTCGCAGAGGAGCGCTGCGTCCGCCTTCCCCTCCGAGTCCTGAGCGCCTCGTGTCATGGCTCTGGTTTTTATTCATCACAAGACACTCAAGAGGAGGGACACGCACACATACATACACACATACACACCTACAGACGATGTCAGCCTGAACAAGGTCTGCCTCTAAAGAATGTCAAAGTATTTAAAGTATCTACAGAGAGCTTTTCTGTGGTAACAGTGAAGACTTCAGCTTTAGTGTCTCAGTTCCTCTGCAGCTGCTGCATCGTCACCATGGAGAGGAAGGATTTTAAGACTCTGCAAAAGACGAAAACCAGAAGATATTTTAAAAAGCTGCTGGATGTAAAGCAATGCTATAAAGGCAATGTGCATGAGTGGTACCTATGACTTCAGGCGTATCATCAGCCAACGAATCGGAGCTCATCACGTACTTGGTGCCGAAAATCTGAACCAACTTCTCAAAAAACTTGCACTCCTGTTTATCCCCTCTGAAAACAAGAAAGGAAGCAGCAATTATGAAGAGTAAAAGACGCTCAGAGGATAAGTGTTGCGGATTTTAGCTGCGCTTACTGTCGTCCCTCCAGGAATTGTCGGAAGTTGGCTCTCAGCCTCTTTACCCTGGACTGACACTGTTCAGGAGAGCGCAGGTAGCCCTGGCTGGCCATGACCTGAGAGATCTGCTTATAGATGCTTTTGTTCTTGTTGCCGCCCTTCAGGTTCTCCTGGATCTCTGCACTGCCCCAGATTTCCAGCAGGGCCTCAGTCTCGCTGTCCCCCCAGGCCATCTTAGAGCTGTCGGCCAGCCAGTGGTTACCAGAAGCTACTGGGTAAGAAGACAACACGTTGATAAGACCATATCGATGATGCATTACCTTACTAAAATATCTCATATTTTACTGAAAACAGTAGATTAACCTTCTGTGAAAAAGAAAAACTGCTTCTCACAAAATATTAAACCCTTATTATCATTAATACCTTAAAGTCTTACCTTTCATTTGGTGGACTTCAGGTGTGAAGTCATCTGATTCATCTACAATAAACGGGTTGACAACAGACTCGTCCATGTTTATCTCCTTTCTGAAAACCTTGTCCATTTCATTGAAGAATTTGAATTCTTCCCTGGATTCAATAGAAAAGTTTTATTTTAAACGGTTATTGATGGAATAAAATACCCATCAAAGGATTAGCACGTGGTTATTGTTTAGTCGTGACTCACTTTTCATGGACGAAGCTGTATTTAAGGCGCTTCATGCGGGTGTAGCACTGCTCGGTGGTCCTTATGAAGCCGTGGTTGCTTAGCTTCTCAGAGATGTACTCAAACACGTGTCGGTTCTTCAGACATCCTCTCAAGGTGAGCTGGACGCTGTCCTCGCCCCAGATCTCCAGCAGGGTGCGGGTTTCCTGATCAGACCAGGGTGTCTTTCTGCTCATGTCAGTCAGGAGGTGGCTGGTTGAGGGCTGATCGTCTAAAATGGGAAAAAAAGATAGTCACTAGTGTATGTAATATTCCAACAGGAATATTTCCTCGTGTTTATACGTACACATGACAGGATCGTGGTCCGTTAGAGGTCCTAAGGTATCGGCTGTAGAACCGTCTACACCGGAAAACGCCAAATCATCACCGAGCACCGGAGCAAGAAGGTTGAAGTACCGAAACACTGTTGGCCTCCCTCCGTTTCTGGAAAACAGGAATTCCTTTTAAAAAGTGGGAAAATTAAAACATGTAGTTAAAAACCACGACTGATTGGCGTACCTCCGATTGTTGCAGAAGCGCCTATAGGTCTTCTTAAGCCTCTTGATCCTCAGCTGGCACTGCTCCGCCGTCCTCAGGTAGCCGAGGGAGGCCAGCTTCTCGGATATGTCGGCGTACACGTGCCCGTTACGCATGGAGGTCTTCAGGCTGTGCTGCACGTCATCAGCGGCCCACACCTCGACGAGAGCGACCGTCTCCTCCTCGGTCCACGCCGTGTTTGTCTGTTCATCTGCACCTCCTGCAGACAAGCGATCCAAAGACAAGGAACATTAAAGCTGTTCTGAAGAAAAGAGAAAGTGCGAACGTTTAGAAATGGTACCTGGATCCATTTCAGCGTGTTCTTCCCGGTCATCATACTCATCAATGTTTATGGCCTCCGGTCCCAGGATTTGTTCCAGCTGATGATAAAACTTGTAATCTGTTTTTCTTCCGCTCCTATAAGAGGGACATTATTTAGCTTTAGATATCTAGGATGACAATATTTCCTTGCGGCCTAGAAAGCATTATTCTAGATCTAGATGCATTTGGATTTACTGTAGAAAAGTTCCTTCCTTCTTCTTTCCTTTGGCCATCCTTTACATTTTCGCCTTATTTTCTTTTTCCCCCCAGTTTGTTGTCCCTTCTATTAAATCCTTGTATCCTTCTTTCATTTCTTCTATCCTATCCATCCATGTCAGCAATATTCTACCTCGCTTGAGGTAATTTATTTCCATATTTTTTTGTGTTTTAATTTCCTCCGTTTCTTTAATGCTTTTCCTTTTTCTGTCCTAAGAAGAGGTACAAGGGTCAGTACCTCCCTCTTTGGACGTCTATTGCAAGACATTACCTATTGTCACTCACATGCAATATTCTTCACCCTAACACCTGCCAAGTTCTGTGTAGTCCGTTTAATTTTTTACTTATTTATAAGGTCAGTACATCTCTGCAGGACAAGTGCAATAATCCAAGTCAACTACTGTTTAGTGTTTCTTTAGCTCTTATTTTTACATCTAAAGGAAACGTATTCCAGGACAAAACTACTTTTTTATCCTCTTTTTTACTATATACACTCTTTTTATATTGTCTTTTGTATTTTTATCTTTAATTGCATCTTGCTTTAACTCTTTGTACTTTATAAAAATCGACTAGAACCAGAATTTATCTAAAGGAGTAATCCCAAGGGATAAATAAAGTTGAGTCTAAGTCATTTTCTGACTTTTGCTTGTAGTTTTTCCAGCTTCCAAAGCTAAAGCAAAAACTCTAGAGATATTTTTTACAGAGCCATGGCAAAGGTTTCTGTTTGCGGATTTTAAGTAACAATATATAACAACTAATGTAATATGTAATGTAATAAAAACTTTCGAAAATTGAGACCAGAAAGGTCTGGAATCTGGAGTAGAGTATGATCCCGGAAAGGAGAACCTGATAGGAGAAAAATCTCACTTCTTCCTGTCGTAGCACTGCCGGAAGTTGATTCTCAGTGATTTTACTTTGGAGCGGCATTGCTCCGAGGTTCTGGAGAAGCCGAGGTCATGCATCCTCTCTGAGATCTCGGCGTAAACGTGCCCGTTATGGATGAAGCCCCTCAGAGCTCGCTGGATGTCCTCTTCACCCCAGATCTCGATAAGACCCAGGGTCTCCTCGTCTGACCATGTGCTGGATGCTGGTTTTTCTGATGATACTTCGTGGGTCTCTCCATCTGATGCAAAACAGGTAGAGATTGTTTTAACATGAATGGATGACCCAATGAAAGCAAACAGAATAAAATGAACCTAATATAAATTGAAGGAATTATGAAAACTTGAAGTAAAAAATGTTACAAAAAACTGAATCACAATTTAAAAAAATTATACAAGTTTATGCAATTTTATTGATATAAAACTACTGATAGAGCTAAAGTATGAAAAAAAAATATTTGAATTTGACACATTTCATCCAAAATCAATAAAAAAAATCTAATTTTACATAAAAAGTCAATGCATTAGTTATGATTTTTTTCATTTTCCCACCTCTTTCTGTTCCCGATTCTCCATTGGAGTCTTCCGATATTTCAATAGAGTCCGTTACGATGGCGGACGACGTTGATGGCTGCTTTTCCAGAATCTGTTCCAGCAGATCATAGAATTTAAAGTCGACTCGGTCCGTCCCAGATGAGCTGCAGACACAAAGCAAGTTTATGAGGCACAGGGCTTGAGAGAAACCCAAAGAATCGAAATTATTTGATTTGCTTTTCACCTCATGTTCTCTTTACACTGGCGATAGGCCGTTTTCAGCCGTTTGATCCTGGTGTGGCACTGCTCCGGGGTGCGGGAGTATCCGTTAGCGTTGAGCTTCTCCGATACCTCCGTAAAGATGTGTCCGTTGTGCGGGTAGCGCCTCAGACACTGCTGCATCTGAAAATTCAAGTACTTATGTTTTTAATATGGCTTAAAAGCATCTGAAGATATACAAATAGTAAAACAAAGGGTTTAGATGAGTTAACAGAGAGGCTGGTAGGTTGCTCTACCTGTGGGTCACCCCAGACCTCCAGCAGGATGATGGTCTCTTTGTCGGACCATGGCACTTTCTTCCGGTCCTCCTGAACTCCCACAGCAGACTCTGGAGACACAAACAATAACCTGGGATTATTAGCAACACATATTTCCACAGCTGCATCTCTCAGGCGGGAATGTAACAGGTTAAATGTTCCAGTTAGAAATTAACTTGCAGTCAATTGGCCTACAGGGAGAAAGACTATTCAGAAGGGGGGACACTGTTGACATTCTTCCCAGGAGTAGAGAGTCCCAGCAAATTCCAGAGGGGGGGAAAAAATGCAGACTGGCCAGAATATTTCCCAAAATATTCCAAGGGCTGAACACTAAGCTTACTGTTAGATAAAGCTGGAATCTAAGGTTAGTGATGTTACTACTGAGACAAAACACCAGACTTTAAGAAAAACTTCAGTTTGGTACACAATAAACCAAACTAAAGATTTAATTAAGCTGCATTAATGCAAATTAAAGAAATGTTTAACAGTTTTACTGAGACTGCATTTTAAAGGTATAGTGGAGGATTTTTGCAAATTTTTGAAAAGACTTACCCTCTCCACTTAAAAAAATTAAATAAAATGCACATGCACAACCCTGTACCCACTCCTGAGAAGGGACGTCTATTAAGTGCGTGCAAGAGCCCATTTCTCATCGTGCATGGTCGGTTTTAAAGTTGCTGTTTGCATCGCTTATACAAGTTCACTTTCCAAAAGAAGATTTGAAATGTTTTTCAAGTGAAAATGGGGACGAGGACGTAGGACGGCCTTATGTAAGCAAATAATGGCCTGAATCTAAAAAGATAAACGTATTTGAATTGTTCTTTAATTGGCTGTTCTGTTCGAAAAAATTTTTCCAATAAGGAAACTTTGGTTCTCTAATAAAAATAAGGCTGGGGGTGAAGAGGTCAGAGGTCAAACTATCAGACAACTCTTCTCTGGGTTGTTCTTATGAATCAGCTCCAGGATTATCCAATCCAATCCACTTTATTTATATAGCACGGTTTAAATAAACACAAGGTTTCCAAAGTGCTGCACAAAAAGATAAAATAACTAAAATAAATAAAAGTAAATAAAAATAAAGGCACTGCCCGCACAGGATAAAAATATGCATGTGATAAAAATGTGCATGTGATAAAAATATGCATGTATCCAAGCCAGCAGATGAAGAACAACTATCCTGGGATTACCGAAGGCCACCTGCATGAGGAGGATGGGATCGGGCTGCAGAAACAATCCATATAACAAGATAAGAGATAACAACTGTAGGATCCGTAGTCTTGACAAGATGAGGAAAGCTACAATAAACCCCAATCCTAACTTTTTTCTAGTCCAGATTTACTCTTTTATTGAATCAAGTAAAAAAAAAAAAAAAAAAGGTATAAATTAACTGAAGAAAACCAGGAAACCTGAATTTGGCTTCTAATGCCCAACTTAGACCTATTTACTAACAGACGTGCACAAAGAATTACTAAAGTAGGATCTGTCTGATACGATGAAGTAGGCAAGCAAGGCATCCTTCACTGATTGAACAATATAAATCAAGAACTAATGAGAAGGAAAGTTAAAGTTAAATCTGGTGCCGTTTCGTTCAGCCAAACAGCATTAATATTATATAGCCCTGCTATATTCCTGTAACTCTGAGGTCTCACAATCATCCAGACTCACAATCAGCTGATGGTTAAAGGCTGCTTAGCTTGTTAGCTTCCATCACCAAACAGGATATACTCACTTTTCCCAAAAAGATCAACGTGATCTGACACCTTTCTACAACAGATAAGAGAACTATTACCGAGGAATTCACAGAAAGCTGAAAAGACATCCAAAGTAACCCATAGAAGAAGAGCCGATATACTGTGCTTACAAACCTTTCATTCTTACCTGATAATTCACAAAAAATGAACAGGCTGAATTTAATGACAGCAAAACAGATAAACAAAAAGTGGCAGGCTTCTTCTGCACACATAGACCTTCTTTATTTGACTATTTGAAGAATTTTACAAAGATTTTACCGATTTTCTGGTGACTGTAGGAGGGGAAGTCGCCGTCATCATCCTTCACTGATATGTCATCCAGCTGCATCATCGACCGGAAGTCCTTCACTAAAATGCTTCCAAGCTCGTTGTAAAACTTGCACTGAACTTGCTCATGTCCCTTCAAACTTAAAAAAGAAAGGAAAAGAAGAAAAATATATTTAAATATCATGAAAATTTCCTTTTTTATGTCCTGATATATACGTACTTGTTCTGGTAGCACTGCCTGAAGCTGGATTTGAGTCTTTTCAGCCTTGTCTGGCATTGCTCCGGCGTGCGGGAAAAGCCCAAGGCAGCCATCTTGCTGGATATGATGGAGAATATGTGTCCGGTTCGATTCCCTCTGAGCTCCTGCTGCATTTTGTCAGCTCTCCATATATTTATGAGGGCTAAAGTCTCCATGTCTGTCCATGGCACGCTTCGAGTTCCTAAAATAACACAAGAGGTCAGAATAAAACTGCTGTGTAGCATACACTTATATACTTTAATGTAATCTGCAACTGTGCCATATGTAATGATCAACAACGTGCATACCAAAAACTTTATACAGATATATCTGTTTTAGGCTGGCAGGACTAAAGCTGGAGGGAAGGTGGAGGTTTTTCCCATACGTTCACAATCAGAATCTTTGATTTAAACTGGAGGAGCTGGACAGATTCGTCAGCAGGGAAACAGATGCTAATCCAGAGGTGGCTGTGATTGTGGCTGAAAATTTTAACCAATCAGGATAAAAAGCTGTGCTCTCCTTATTCATAAAGTTTCCTTCCAGAGCCCATAGTTTTCTAGATCAGGTTAACAGTAGCATTCCTGGAGCATCCAAGGCTGCAACAGCTCTTCACACTGGAATGTTGGACCTGATCACTGCCTACAAACCCATGATCAGAACCACTCAGGTTTGGACTGAAGGGAGGCTTACTGTTCTGTTGCTCTGACCCCACTTAGAAGGAAAATCGTTCAAAGACGATGCCGTGTCGTTGGCACTTCACACGGCTTTGCAGCACCCCAATGCAGTGCTGTTTCTGAACTTTGTTCAAGGATCAGACTTCCTCACCAACAGGCATAGGAAAACTTCTGCCCTCTGATGCTAAAAACACTGGCATACTTCAGGGTTGTATTCTCAGCCCGGCCCTCTTCCCTCCCTTTACATAAGCCTATATATGCTTGCTGAACACCATTATAAAAAACAGGGAAAGCGTGACAGAATTTTTTTTTTTTTTTATGCAAAAGTTGCGATCAACAACTGGCTAAAAAGAGAGGATGACGAGTTACCACTCAAACAAACTAATTCCACAGTTATTTTAATTGTATATCTTTTCTAATGGAATCGCAGCAATTATAAAACTGTGCTTTTTTGTAACGGATATGCAAAATGCAGCCTGTGATGAGACCCCTACAGATAAGACATCCAGTCTCATATAATGCCAGTAAGACCAAGGAGATTCAGATTCTTAAGGGGGTCCTCTAAGAAAGCTAATTTCTAAGTCATTTTTTTCTAATCTGAATGATCTATAAAGACAATAAAGACTCTTTATTTATAAAGATGAAAGTTTGGTCCTTTACATTCACATCTGATCAAGTCTTGATGGAGACTTATGTTCTTTCGTTATAAATGGCGCAAGTATGTCAGAAAGAAAGGAGATTATCTTTTTAGCTCTATCAATCTTACCATTAGCCCTTGGCAGGCAGCCTATGCTTGATGAGGAAAAGCCTCTCCAAAGCATGACGCTGCCACCACCATGTTACACCATAAGAACTGTGTGTTTAGAGTGATTCAGTTCTGTTTTATAAAAGCAAGCTACCGGTATGTAGATTTCACAGTAGTTTGCATAAAGGATAAAGGTGTATACTAATAGAAATAATGCAAATTCAGTTAGATTTATTTGTCAAATTATTGCAATATGTTACCAATTTCCAGCTGGCCAGAGTGTGCGACAAACTGAAGGTCTTCCTCCCCGTCTTGGGTCTCGTCATCATCTATGACTTCCTCGACATCATAGGTTATCTCAGGAACAGACGAGGCAGACGACGAGCCGATAATCTGCTCAAGCTTCGAATAAAATTTGTGGTCTGGCCTCGAGTTCCCTCTAATGGAAAATAGAAAACAAGCATTTTTAATACGGATTACCGATGCCTTGTCCAATGCTTCCTAAATTAAAGAGCAGTGTTACTTAAGGCTCTGGCGGAAGCATTTCTTCAGCCGTTTGATCCTCGTCTGGCACTGCTCCACGGTTCTCATGTAGCCCCTCTCGGCCATCTTCTGCGCGATTTGAGTGAATATGTGGCGGTTCTTTAAGCAGCCCTTCAAGGCTTGCTGCACCGAATCCTTCCCCCAGATGTCAAGCAGATGGAGCGTCTCTTCATCTGACCAGGGAACCTTTGAGTCCATAAGAACTGGGAAAGGACGTTCCTGAGAGTCTAAAATTAGACACATAAGCTTATTAAATAGTTGAAAGATAGACAGACAGACAGACAGACAGACAGACAGATAGATAGATGCTACGTACATGAAAAAGAACAAACCTGTATATTCTCCCCATATAGAGATCAGAGGAGATTCACCTGAATTCTCATCATCCACTGAGGAATTTCTGCAAAAGAGGGTACAATTAAATCCAGTTAAGTAACTACAAATCATGGAATAATGAGTAAAAAAAAAAAAGGTAAATTTTTTTTTTCTTTGACTGAACAAAAAAAAATAAAGTTTTCAGAGAGGTCGGGCTGCAGGCCTACACTGTCAGCGCCCAGAGCTGCACTGTGAGGTCTCCTGCGCTGTTGGAACCGGAAGTTTATTCGAAGTCTTTCCGAAGTAAAAGCTAGTGTCAACAACCTCCCCGTAGAGCTAGCTTCCTTTGAAAAACATGTGTTGTTATGCCTGAAATGTATCTACACGCACAATTTTACTCCCCACCTAACTCCAATAATAGATATGTGCTACATAGACATAAGTCCCTGTATTTGGATCGCTGGATGGAAAAAGGACATTTGGTCTATAAGAAATGTTCTTAACGACAATGACGTTGGCTGTCCTATGAGGATTTTTGCTTACTGTATAATTTAACCTGCTCCTATGCTCATTTTAACACTGTGTTAGGTTTATTATTTATACACCATGTGCATTGTTACTTTGTTAGCCATATTAGACAGAGTAGAAGGCCTTCCTTCACATGGTGGATGTCACTGTGTGTACGGAGGTCATCTAATCAGGACAGCCTCCATGTCTTTAAAAATACACAGGATATGGGCACATCTTGGAGCCGGACTGATAAAGGAGAGCTAGGTGTAATCCTGGGGTAAAGAGGCAAGATGCATAAAGGTCGAGGCATGGATGGCGCGTCAGTTTCTGATACGGAGAGTTAAGCATCCACCTGATGCAACACATGGAGGTATAAGAAGGAGGAGATTACTTTGTTTGGGGCTCAATCTTTGCCGGACGCTGGCTGACGCTTTTTGAGCCCATAGCTGTGCCGACTCCAAGCAATTTCTCTGTCCTGTAACGACCTGACCTGGAATAAACTCTGTTACTTTTTTACTCCTGTTTTAGTCCTTTTTTATATGGTTTTACTCAGTTTGAGTTAAGAGTAGTAAATAATTTGCTCCCAGGAAAAGAACCGAAAGGAAGTTCTGAGGCGCAGCAGCCTTCAGGGGGATCTAACTTCCATATTTAACAACTGTCATAAAATCTAATCTGGCAGCAAACACGTGTTGCGTGCTATTCCCCATGGCTTCGGGGCACAACTTCTACAATAAACTTCCGGTCCTGACAGTGCAGGAGACTCCATTTTGCCGGTCTACAATGGAGGGTCCTGACAGTGCAGGAGACTCCATCTTGCCGGTCTACAATGAAGGGTCCTGAAAGTGCAGGTCTGCAGCCAGACTCCCTTGAGTTTCCAAGGTATACATTTTAAGAATCTGATGTATTAATCGTTAAGAAGCGGCTTTATTATTAAGCTGTTTATCTTACACAATGGCTGAAGCCTCTGCACTCTGCTTCATGGGAACCTCCGCGCCTCCACTCAGCTTCCTCTTCCTTGCACTGTGAGAGCCCAGTAAGCTAGGGGTGCTCTCGCTGGCCTCTGACTCAGAGTCAGCGCCTTCGTTGGATATAGTGAGGTCAATGGTTTCGTTGCAAGGCTGTGATGAGCTCTGCATTTTCCGTTCCTGAGAAATGTTCATGTTCCTGGCCTGCAGCTGCCAAGCACCGGATTCTCGTTCCTCTCTCAGTTTCTGTCTCAGCGTGTCAGATGCCCTTATGCTTGTTCTTTCCTGGCTGCTGGTGTTGATAGGGGTGGGTGAGTCTTTAGGTGGAGCAGGAGACTGAGAGGTGGCGTTTATAACAGGTCTGGTCCCGGGAGGCAGTGAGAGGGACGAGAGGATGCAGTCATCCATTGGTAAAAGACTCGGATCTGCAAAAAAATAAAAAATAATAATGGCTGATTTAGATAGAAGAAATGGTTGTCAGTGTACGACCAAAGTTTGGTTGCATTTTGAGTGTTTTATCCTTAGAAAGATGAAATCATACCCTTTTCTTCAAAATGACCAAGGCTCCTGTGGTGATCAAGAACAGCCTTCATGTCCTCTGGTGGGAAAAATGATCGTAAACAGTCGTCAAGAAATGACGGAGCGTCTTTCAGCAAAGCTGCCAACTGAGAAGAGAGACTGGGTCAGTACATTCAGTAAGTTATTCATTATTCTTTTTATTTTATTTTTTAAACAATTAGCTTTCACATTGGATATACATTCCTTTACAGCTTTCATGATGTAAAAGATGTGCAAAAACAATATCAGCAATATTCTTAATTAAAATATACACATTAAGGATTACAATTATAATCATGATCATTGAAAACAATGATAACAATTTAAAACAGTGCAAAACTTAATATAAAAATATTAGATATAAAAACAATAAAGGCTTAGTGAAATATCACTTATAAAAAGACCAATTAATGTCATTATTGTAGTGAAATTATGTAATGTAGAAATAGGGGGTGGGATTTTTATTTGTATTTAGAGTCTCTAGTTTTTGAATCTCAACTATCAGTTTTTGTTAATGCCATATTTAACGAATAATGCACACAGGTTAAATTATTTTAAACAATTACTAAAAAGGTAGCAGTTTTGTGTTTTAAATATAAATCATTTACAACATAAATCCCGTTGGCAAAATAATTATTTTTCTTCCCTATCAATGCAAAACATGACACTTGTCATCATTCAGGTGCTGATTCCTGGCTTGATTGCTCATTTCATTCACCTGTCCAGCTCTGCCCTATTCCTCGTCACTCATCAGATCCACCTGTTCCGGGTTCCTATTTAAACTGCCTGTTTTCCAGCCATCAGTACCGGATTATTCTTGAGCCTTTGGTGTTGAGAGTTCTCTGCCATTACTATAGTGTTCTGATTGTCTGATACTGATCTGTTTCTGTATTAGGACCTTTGGGCCAGCCTGCCTCAATCTGATTAGTTTGCCTGCCTGTCTTCGGACTCCTGTTGGATTCTTCTGTGGCCTGAACCTGGATCTGCCTCTTGACTTCGCCCTGTGGATTATCCTGTCTTCCTTCGTTAGCTGAGATCTGATCTCCTGTCCGCACTGCAGCCTTCTAGGCTTCTGTGTCTGGAACTCTCGGGCAGCATTCGCTGCGTCTGTTCAGTCAAAAGGCTGCAATTATCATAATTCTCTGGGCACGGACTGAACAGTCAAACCAGGTTAGTTTTTTGCATGCTCATAATCAACCTCTGTCAGATTTTTGCAGTCATTAACCTTTCTCTCCATAGACGTTCCTGCCTCATACGCCCTAGCCCCTGCCGCATCTCTCTCTTTCTTTGAATAAACGTCTTTTAAGGAATCCACTGTCCGTCTAGCCTGAATTCTGGGTCCTACCTTCTGAGTCATTACAACACTACTATTAAATCTTTTATAGGAAATTTATTCTGAAAAATATACATTCAATAAATATGTGTACGTATGTGCAATTTGGAGGCGTGTGTGAACGACTCCACATCTAAGACCCTCAGCAGGTTAGTGGATAGATTTGGACATGGTAAGGTAAGTTGAAGTCATGACATTCAAACCATTATTCAATATTCTGATGATCAACACGTCTCAGAGAGATGAAACCACATGACACAGATAATGTAACACCACTGCTAGCAGACGGCTTCTACCATAATGAGAACTTTAAGAAGGGTCAAAAATATTCTGGGACGTCTCCGGCTGAAGCATGTTTCAAACAGCCTTTCTTCTGACTGATATTTTACATTTTGGTGTTAGTCCGGTGTGAAAACGGCATTAGATAGGATTGGTTTAGGCAAACTCAGTGCTATTCCAATGAAATAAAATGATAAACACCTGATTAAACATTTAATACCCTAAATAAAATAATAAAGAACAATCAATGTTGGTTATTTCCTTTGTTGTTTTAACTAATAGGCTTTGTGTTTGAGATTTTCTCTATAGACTCTCTTCTAAATGGATGAATCATGAGGGGGAGTCTACTGGGACATTGGCTCCCAGTTCCTTCCATCACACCTGAGCCCTCAATACCAAGGATATGATCCAACTGAGCCCTTAGAGGAGCCTCATTTTGGAAGTAAGGAAACACAAACATGATGTAAAACGCTTTGGTTCTTCAATAGTAAGTTTAGCTTAGTTTCAGCATGTAACTGGTTAATAATGTCTTTCATGCTTGAGCTGAAACAACAAAGCACCTGGGTGAAGTCGGGAACAGGCATGAGCTCCTCCAGTCTCGATATAAACTCCCACACCAGCATCTCCAGGGCTGCATCATACTTTGGGCCGAAATACACAGGGAAAATCTCCTGCAATAGATAAGTGGGTCAAGTCAACAGAGGAATCCATTTTGGAAAAAGAGCTAACATGGTTACCGAGGGAGGTTTTTATCTTTATTTCGACAATAGCTCAGTTTTTTTTTAAGCTCCAATCACAACTAAAAGAATGGAAACTATTGATGTCATTGAAATCAATTTCTTTAATAAGTAAAACTCCCAAAACTCCACCATCAGTGGTTCTGTAGCATTAGGTAAACACAATGATACTGGAAATTAGTAGAAAAGAATGAGGACAAGGCATTTTTCCAATCACCATAAATGCTGCACAGATCTTTGCCTAATTTAAACTGGATTTAACAGATAAGAATATTTACCGGTACAGGTTGTCTATAAAAACTGCAACTCAAATTGCATTAATTACAGCCCAATAGTGTCTTTTAAACACCTGATTTTTGGTGTTCCATGTGTTTAGTCTTTGTCTCTGGGCCCATAAATGTGGTCCTAACAGTGCAGGACTCAATAAATCATCTGTGCATGAGTCTGAGGAATGCAGAGTGCATGTAAGATCCGTGGCCCTGCAGCAGGCTGCATGCTCTGTGCATTGGAGAGATTATTGGCATATATTCAAACGACATGCGTATTTTACCGTTAAAGAAAAAATTTGCTATATCCATTCATCTGTTTGGTGTTCAGTTAGCTTTATTCTCACTTTAATATTCCCTGCATATCAAATGGTTAAATCACCCCCCTTCCTCCAACAAGTAAACATAGTAGGAGGTCTTACTTGGAAAAAGTATTTCCTCTCAGAGGGATCCTCCAGTAACGAGTGAACCAGCTCAACAAAGTTCACCTCAGACTCCTCCACCTGGTTTATAGTTACCTATGAAAAACAGATCATATATTAAATGTTTAAACTAGTTTTAAAAAGCAGATGTGACTCAACTAACAAGGAATACCGACATTTTCTTTTTCCAAGCCCTAGTTTACTCACATGGTGATCCTTGGCTGTGCTGACAGGAGCTTTTATCCTGTCCAGATGTGGCTGAATGGTCTGCATGTCCACTGGGTGATCTCCTCGACAGAGCTCCAGGACCAGCTAGTTACAAAACATAGCCAAAAACATACCATTTTTAAAAGGCTATCCATTGCAGAACATAAAAAAAAATAAATACAGATGGAGCTTTAAATATATAGTAGAAATTATTTAAGTCTGATTATATATTTTGTGAAAAGCAAAGCAAGATGAATGAAGTATCTATCATATTTCAACACTACTGACCCTGGCCCTGAGGCCAAGGATGAGCTGAGCCCTCTGACTGTAGCTCATCAGCTCTGGGACCAGCTCCGTCACCATGGTAACAAACTCTTCTAGCATCCCATAGTGATCCACCAGTCCCTGCTGCACAACTTGCCACACTGCAGCCGACAGGAGCTGCAAGGGCGGGGCCAGGAGCCGCAGATAACGGGCTGGGAGATCATTACCTGGAGAGAAAGACGAAAACGTAAACAAACACCTAAAAATTCTTCAATGACTTCTTTAGAGCTGCTTAAATATCAGAAAATATAAGTTGGATGTGCTTTTTGTCGTGAACTGGCTCCATGTAAACATACCCGATAGAATCCACTGATTTCTAACAACTTAAAAAAGATCCTTACAATTTGATGGTATTTGGTAGAAATCATGTTGCCTTTCTTAAAACCAGCGTTTGGTCACACATTTTATTCATATTTAGACCCAATTCAACAGATCCGCCTTCAGTGTGATTAGTTGAAAACTAACATTGCATCTATTAACATCATCCTGGTAAATATTGCACCAACAATCAGTAATAAATGATTTATTTCTTTGCTTCCTCTAAAATATGATTTGATCAATGTCATTAGTATCATGTGTGAATATTTAGTGCCTTGCAACTTTTCCGTTAGCATAAGAAATGCAAGATCGTAACCCATGGAATAAGTCAGCGAGCAATTATTGCAATCCGATCAGTCCTTTGTTATTTAAACACTGGACATATGATTGATTTGACATATATGCTGCAGATGCAGTGTGAACCTTAGCAACCTAGTGAAATACAGTGGTGGGAGTATCATGCTATGGCTAAGCTGTTTTCACCAGGAACGGGGAGCTGAACAAAGAACAATCCTGGGAGAGTCTGTGGCCATCGACACACATAGCTATACGTTTATATACTAATATATATTTGGAGTGGTGGACTAGGGGTGTCAAACTGGTTCCAGAAAGGGCCGTGTGGCTGCAGGTTTTCTTTCCAACCAAGCAATCGCACACCAGACTCCATTCATCTCATCAAGTCATCATGTTCAGATCGGACTCAGTTGATGAGATGAATGGAGTCTGGTGTGCGATTGCTTATTTGGAAAGAAAACCTGCAGCCACACAGCCCTATCTGGAACCGGTTTGACAGCCCTGGGGCAAAGAGCTTGGAATCCTGAGGTTGTAAGTTCAAACCCAACTGCCACTCTGAACAAGACAATGGCAGCACACTGCTCCCCAAAGGGACAGGTTAAATGTAGAGGTAAATTTCTCCAATCTGAGATCAATAAAGTTCAATTATTATAATATAAAATCAAAGCATATTCATGTCAGAATAGGCATGAATTTAGTTTCCTAAATGTAATTAGGAAGCTAAGAATGATCAAAGTCAAACTTGAAACTGCAGCACAGGTTTATAAGACAGCAGGACAATGACCTTAAACAAACAACCAGAGCTGGAATGGAAAGGTATAGATCACCATGAGTTAGAATGGCTCAGTCAAAGTCCATGCAGAGGTGCTCTATGCAATGTGACTGAGAAGAAAAACATTTGGAACAGAGAGATAAAAATAATTTCTAACTCACTAAGGTAGCAAATGGATAGAAGAAAGTAATATTATATATATAAATACATGTTTTACTTTATCTAGGTCTGCCTATATAAGAAATGATTGATCACAACATGAAGAAAAGGAAAAAGTTCAAAGAGCTACAGATGCTTAGATGCAACCCCCTCCTCATGATCCTACAACCTCCACCTGAAAACAAATGATCCACCTATCAGAGCATAGATAAAAACACACAATGCGTAAAATAATGATATGAAAGCTTGCAGCACAATAAAACCCATCAGATTGTTGTATTCGGGGCTTTATAAGGGTGCTGGGCTTTTTGCACAGGAGGAAAAAAATAAACCTAACACAGAATAATGCTAAGAAAGCATATGGCACAGAAATATCCAGGCAAACTGATTCCTGCCCTGAGGAGGGGTGGGAATAAAACAGCATTCACCTCCCCTCACCATCAATAAACATCCACAGATATAGCAGCGAATTGAACAAAAGCAAGCATGTAGTCCAGCAGTGGGGGCCCACGGACTCCAAAAACACGCACAAAAACAAAAGGCTGAATATTTGGATTATTATGATGAGGATGCACGCACCTCGGCTGTTTCCACTTTCTGCTCCGCGTTTTATTTCCATTTAGCAGATGACCGAAAGGGGGGGAAAAATGCACGGCCCTGGATCTCGCCCTCGGGTTGTGGTTGCTACAGAAAACGAGAAGTAGAGGGAAAAAAATACAAAAAAAAAGGCTAGCCTTAAAAGGTTTTATAAATATATCCTATTTTTTTTTTGTAAACGTGTCAACCATTTGCGGTCGACAACCCATGAAAAGGAGGTGAGGTTTGGCTGGATGCATGAAAAAAAACCTCGCGAATTTCGTCTTGGACTCGGATTAGGAGCAGAACAATGGTTCCTGGTCTCAGCCGCCTCAGTCCAGATCATGGCAAACCCTCTTTCCTCGTTGGTTGACGAAGACCTGATCGACCAAGCAATTCAGCTGCTATGACACAAGAGGGCGCCAGAGAGCTCTGTTTGTGATATTTGGTTATGTGGGGTTCCTGCACATAAAGGTGTAAAAGGCAGAAAAATTAGTTAATTCTTTAAAAGGAACAATAACCAAAACAATTCCTTTTGGGAAAGGGGAAGATAAATCAATTATTAAGAGTAAAGAAATGGAAAAATTGAAAATTATATAAGGTACAAAAATCAGTATTAAATAGAATCATTAATGAGAGAAACAGAAGGGAAGAAGTACAACAGGTCACACCTATTTAAATGACAATTTATATTTAATAGGGAGGAAAAAGTAATTTAACATATATTGATGAACTGTAAAACTTATGAACACGAAGGAGAGAAATTAAGGATGGTTTGAAAGGACAGGCCAAGAATGGAGTCTTAAAGGAATATTGGGAAATGAAGGAAATATAAAGGATATTCACAGATTAAGGAAAGCATTATTTATTTATCTACAGAATATAACATTAAAAAATAGAATTTGATGTAAAGTGATGTTGCAACACACTCATGTACAGTAGGTGGCGGTATGCACCTTAAAGTTGCTTGCGATCCACCATAATAGAAAAGAAGAAGAATATTTTTTTAACAAAATATTTATTAAACAATAAATTAACAAAAAAAAAAAAAAAAAAAACAGTTAAAAAAAATCAGGTCAACAATACATTATCACATTAGCAGCTTTTTATGTTTTAGCTCTCCCAAATCAGAAATTGTGCACAAAACACTATTAAAACCCCAAACTTTAAATCCTTCAAAACTTTCAATCAAGCTGAGGTCCTGCCTGCAGTTTGCAGGGTTGGAAAGCAGTGGCTTAACTGTAATGCACACCGTTGAGAAGAAGAAAAAGAAGAGCTCTTTGTTTGGATCATGCTTTTCTTAGTTTGTTCAACCAAAGAGACGAAAAACAAATGTAAACAGATAACACATGTATATTTACTTATACATATTTGTATATATCAGTGACAAAAACCTTTGTTGTTGACAAATGAGTACATTTTACAGTGTAGCAATGTCATTTTAATATAGTTGAAAAGTGAATAGTGCAATTATAGTAAATCTGTATAACAGGGACGCAAAGCCAAATTATTATTAACTGCTGACATATCCATTTTCAACTATCTATGCTTAACAAAAACATACACAAAACATGTTTCTTAAAAAGAAATGTGTTACATAGATTGTTAACCCTTTATAGGGCACTCAGTGAAATACTTTGAAAATTAAACTTTCAAGCGAATATTGCTTTTGGAATCCAGGACAAGACCTTCAAAAAATATGGATATTTTGATCACAAAAATCAATGGCAATGTAATAACAACAAACGCCAACTTGCCCAAATATATTAAGTAATTTTAGTTTATAAACCTAAATATAATTTTTAATTAAGCTTATTAACATTTTTTTTTTTAACATTCAACTGTTTATTAGTATTTTTCACAGCTGTTTACATACACGATGTACATGAACACTTCACATTCAATATAACATCACATAAAATCTTTGCTTGGGAGCCATTTCTCTATTTCAACCTTGTCCCATCTGGTTTATCTAGTTCTTTATTTTTTTGTGGCTGTCTTTTGTCTTCAGTGTTGTCTATTTCATCCACTCTTCTTTCGTTTGGGTTTGCTGAGGTCTCAAATTATGTCTTTTTTTTCCTTAATGTAGATTTCTTCTATTACTCCACCTTTTTTTCTTGACTTGGTACCCTTTTTTTCTACTTAATTTACAGTAGGTAATATATAATTCAAGGGCTAATCTAATTGGTGAAATGCCAAAATAAGATGTACAGCAGCATCTTAGCTGAATGGCTGGATATAGATCTTGTGCTTCTACACAACACTGAGGGATGGGTGGGGGGACTCCAATTGTAAGGGGAATGTAAATGATCAAAAACACAAAGGGTTAATGACACTATATAGACATGTTCCTAACAAACAACAATAACATAAAAAACAAGCAACATATCAGGGTCTATGGATAAAATAACTTGTTTTTTTTGTGTGTTGTTTGTTAGCGGATAACATATAGTGATGAGATATTAAATCTGACAAAAAATAAGAAAGTAAAAAAGACAGATAGTGGTGTCTGATATTTCTTCATCTATGTCTGTTGTGAACAGGTCGCATTTTTGCTCCCATTCAGTGGGTATAGGTACCAACAGGGAGTTGCTACTTCTTTGTTTTTTTAATCCATTGTAATTTATGAAACAGTGAGACCATTGTCTCAGTATCACACTCTTCAACGTTTATTCATGCAGTACTGACTAACAATCCAAACATGTGAAGCTTGGGAAGGTTTGATGACCATCAAAGGCTGCAACACAAAGACCAGGACCGTTAGAGGGACAATGGAGAGGGCAAATGAACTGAACAAGTTCTTCAACAGGTTTGAAATGTCTGTGACCAATCCAACGCGGCTGCAGGCATCCCCCCCTTTCCCCCAAAATTCACCTCCCCCCATCTCCATCGCCTCTTCCCCCCAGCAATCAGCTCCACCCCAAGCCTCCACCTGCACCCCCACCTTAGCAGTCACGCCATCCTAGTCTGCTCCTGAAGACCCTCCAACCTCAACACTTTCCCTGCCTGACATCACCACAGATCAGGTCAGAGGACAGCCCTGCAGTTTGCATACCAGCCATGAGTGGAGGGCGCCGTCCTCTAATTACTATACCGAGTCCACTTCCTCCTGGATAAGGTTTCTCTTCCTGGACTTCTCAAGTGCATTCAACACCATCCAGCCGTCCCTGCTGAATAGCATGGGAACATGGGACCCCTGTCTGCTGGCATTTAAATGTAAATCCCTTTATGGTTCCACAATGGGGAAATTCCATCTGCATTTGATCCATCCCCTTAGGGAGCAGTGGGGTGCCATTGTGTGGGGTTAAGGGTTTTGCTCAGGAACCCAGAGGCCAGGCTGTAGGGATCAAATGGGCACAAGCGCACTGCTCTAACCACCAGGCCGACACTCACAGATCTCCAGCTACCTCACAGACAGACAGAAAGACACCATCTCTGAACCTCTGGTCAGCAGCACTGGAGCCCCCCAGGGCCCAGTGCTGGCCCCTGTCCTCTTCACCTTATACACCTCGCACTTCTGTTACAACTCTGAGCTGTGTCACATACAGAAGTACCCAGATGACACAACCATTGTGGGGTGTATCAAGGACAACAGAGAGGATGAGTACAGGAGTCTGGTGGGGGGCTTTGCCATCTGGTGCCGCACCAACCACCTGGAGCTCAACATCTCCTGAGGAGCTGGTCATAGACTTTGAGAGGAATGGACCAAAGACTAAGCTGGTACTGGAGGGGGCTGAGGTGGAGGCTGTGGATTCATACAATAAACTGGACAATGAACTGGACTGGTCAACACACACCAAGCACCTGCACAGGAAGACACAGAACAGGATCTACCTCCTGAGGAGACTGAGGTTGTTCAACATCTGCAACAAGCTGTTGGAGATGTTCTAGCAGTCTGTGGTTGCCAGTGTCCTCTTCTGCACCGTGGTGTGCTGGGGGAGCAGGACATCCAAGGAGGACACCTCCAGTCTGGACAAACTGGTGAGGTGAGCCGGCTCTGTGATTGACAAGAAGCTGGACCCTCCGAGGACGGTGGAAGAGACAAGGACACTTAACAAACTGGTGGAAATTATGGACAATGCCAGCCACCCGTGGGGGAAGAAAGAGGTGATATGAAGAAGGACATGGGTCAGCACCCCCCTCCTTGGACACCTTGTGCAAAAAATTACCTATTGTCACTCCTGTGCAATATTCTTCTCTCTTACTGTGCAAGAACACATGCAAACTACTGTGCAGTCAGTGTAATTTTTTACTTATTTATAAGGTAACTACATCTCTGCAGTGCAAATGCAATAATCCAAGTTAACTACTGTGTAGTCTTTCCTGAGCTCTCTACTGTGCAGATATTTTTTATATCTAAAGGAAACATATTCCAGGACATTACAATTTTTCTTATTCTCTTTTGTAATATATACACTCTTTTTATATTTTCTGTTGTATTTTTATCTTTAATGGCGTCTTGCTTTAACGTTTTGTACTCTATATAAGCTACTTGAAACAGCATTTTCCTGAAGGACTAATCCCAAAGGATGAATCAAGTTGAGTATGTCTAATCTAATTCTAAAGTGTTTTAAATATCAGGAATATTAGTATTTTAGAATGAGACACCCATATTTCTGCAGTAAAGGATGAGACATGTAAATTAGTTAAGATGCAGATACCCCCAAATTTTTAAATATAATACCTGTATAAATACAGTGCAATTTAACACACATTATGCTTAGGTGGTTTTGTATGTGGAGTTAATCTTATTTCTTTCTTAAACAATATAATGAGTTGCATCATAAAGGCAATGTGCTGTGTTGCTGCTAAATAAAGTGTAAAAGAAAAGCCTCCCAAAGCATGATGCAGCCTCATTGTGTCACCATGGTGATGTTTGGATCAGTGTGTTCAATTAATGTTCTTCTATCAGGGTGTCACCTGCCAGCCTCATTTAGCTCATAGCAAAATAATCACTTCATTCTTTGACAGTCTTTATCGAAATGCAGAGTTGAAGGATTCATCTACCTGAGCTGTGCAGCTGGAAAAAGACCAGTCTGTTTAGTGAGCTGACTCACATGATTCGGATCCGACAGAAGAGTCGGAATTCCCATCACTGGTCCAAATTCCTCTACCTTTCTACAGAGCAAAATAGCTTCAGGGTCACTGGAAATGCGCGGTCTGCGCATGTGCCCGGTCCGAGAATGAAGATGGAGACCGACATGAAAGGAGTAGACCCCATAGATATCCATAATAAAGGCTAGATGTCTTACGGCGGAGTCTCAAACGGCATCACCGGCGGCCATCTTACCTCAGGCAGGCTTTCTGTTGTGCTCTGTGGTACCTAATGTAAGGTGAGTGATCAGCACGAACACAAATACTCTTA